CTGGATGAACTCCATGTTATTACTGTAAACATATTAAACAATCAGAAAAGCCCAGGAATCAAACAGCAGAGTGACCCGCGAGTCTCTCGGTCCGCCCCAGGCAGTGTGCGTGACAGGCAGTGCGAGAGTCGCTCTCTGACGCCAGTCCGGTCCTCCAGCGGGGTGGTGGCTCAGCAGTGGCCCAGTGGGATCCAGTTCGGTTTGGGTCCCAGCTACAGGCTCAGGACCGGGGTTCTGCAGAGCCCTGTCGAGACTGAGAGACGCAGGGGGGTGAGTCCCATTGTGCAGGAACGGGAGGGGGCTCATTATGGAACGCAGGTACGGGTGACCCCTGACCCCTGACCCCTGACCCTGGCGCTAACACCTGCACAGGGCAGCTAGCCAGTGAAAGCAGCATAAACGTGCCCTGAACCCAACACTGTCACACGCTGGGGAAAAACAAAACAATCCTTAATCGGAAATTCAAGGAATTTTAACAGCGTATGCAGTGACTTCTTGCCTCTCCGAGGCCAGATCCCAGAACTCCAGTAGGGAACATGGCGGATCAGCCGGTGTGTGTGTGGGAAACGGCGGCCTCACACTTACCCGTGCCCTGGTTAGTGTGTGTGGTCACACAGCGGCGGTATCGCCTCGCCACTCGCTCCTGCCTTCGGGATTCGGGAGGGTCTGCAGGGATGCACTGCTGCCGGAGCGATCCAGCTCGTTCTGGACCTCTGCGCTCGGCTGCGGGAGTTTTCCTCGTGTGCGCCACTGTCCCCCCCGGCTCATGAATACTTCAGCACGCTGCTGGTGTTGTCTTTCGGCCCGGCCCGCTGCCGAGGGGAACCCGATCCCGGCGCGGTGCCGCCGCGGCCCGCTCCACAGAGGGCACCTGCTCCGAGCCGTGTAACCCGGCACACGGCAACCCGTCACGCTTCATGGGAGTACTGGGAGACAGGGGCCATCCCCGTGGAGACAGCGTGAAGCCAGCCAGCTCCTCTTTCACAGACTCTGGACCAGCAGCAGACACTGCTAGTGTACTCTTTACTGCGTTTACCCTCATCTCACTGGGCTGGACTGCACTGGACTGTGCTTTTACCCTGATCTCACTGAGCTTTACTGTACTGTACTGCACTTTTACCCTGATCTCACTGGGCTTTTACCCTGATCTCACTGGGCTGTACTGCACTGCACTGTGCTTTTACCCTGATCCCACTGGGCTGTCCTGCACTGCACTATGCTTTTACCCTGATCTCACTGGGCTTTACTGCACTGTACTGCGCTTTTACCCTGATCTCACTGGGCTTTACTGCACTGTACTGCGCTTTTACCCTGATCTCACTGGGCTGTACTGCACTGGACTGCGCTTTTACCCTGATCTCACTGGGCTTCACTGCACTGTACTGTGCTTTTACCCTGATCTCATTGTGCTGTACTGCACTGTACTGTACTATG